CCATGCAGCCATTCTGTTTTTCACCTTCTGTATGGTACTTGATAAATTATATGAGACATTCAACACTTCATTATAAAACAGGTTTTGTGTTAGATGATTTGTCCAACTATAGGCTAATATAAGCGTTCTGAGCACGTTTAAAGTGGGCTAAACTAAACTATGATGTTCAGTAGGTTAAATTAAATGCATTTTCGACTTATGATGTTTTATTTTATTTTTTATTTATTTATTTATTTATTTATTTTTTTGAGTTGGAGTCTCACTCTGTCGCCCAGACTGGAGTGCAGTGGCCGCTCCCGGCCACCGCAGCCTCAATCCACTGGGCTCCAGCGATCCTTACACCTCAGCCTTCCAAGTAGCCGGAATTACAGGCGCACGCTACCACGCCCGGCTAATTTTTGATTTATTGTAGAGATGAGGTCTCGCCAAGTTGCCCTGGTGGGTCTTATAATGTTTTAAATGTACAGTGGGTTCCTTGGGACGTAACCCTATTGTAAGCTGAAGAGCAGCTGTATTATTTTCTTCTCAGCTTTAATGCTATGTAACAAGGAAACCCCAATGTAGGAGAATTTAGTGACTGAGTAACTTAGTCATTATGGAGTAGGGTTAGAATGAGAAGGACCAGGATTTTGACCAAGCATGTGAAAGTATTTTTTAAACTCAGTAAAATAAAACTGTAAGAAAGAATATTTCATCCAAATATTCAGTGTTCTTTTGATTTTATCATTCAGACGGTCCTCAATCACTATTCCAAAGCTATAATGTTGAGTGCCTTGTGATTCTCATATTCTTCAGGTCAGAGCTTAGTAGTAGGAAAAATTGTAAGATTAAAGGAAAGGTCACTGTGGGGTGGGGTTAATTAGAAAAGATTTCTGGGAGGAAATGAATCATTATCAAGCCATGAAAACATGGTATTTACATTGGCAAAAAGGATAGGGGTAGAGCACTGCATGTAGGAGAGACAGACAAAGGCACAGAAGGGACCCGTAGGGGTAGTTGAAAGCATTGAGATAAGCATCTCACTAGGGGGTTAACCCTACAACCGTTTTTTCTTTACCAGCCAAAAATTTGAACAACATACTCCTTGGTAATACAGATAGTTATTGGTTCTTTTTTCAAAACAGATTATAAAATATCATCAAAGAGTCATATGGCTTCTGGGATTAGTTTAGAATTGAGGTGCTTTTGACCACTGGAAAAGAACAGAAAGAAAGGTTACTCCATTGAAAGTTTGTTGCACAAGAACCATGGCTTATAGTCATACTCTAACTTCTTTTTTTGAGTCGGGGTCTCACTGTGTTGCCCAGGCTGGAGTGCAGACGCCTGCTCACAGCCACCACAGCCGCGACCTGCTGGGCTCAAGTGATCCTTCCGCTTCAACCTTCCAAGTAGATGGAACTACAGGTGTGCATCACCACACCCGGCTAATTTTTTTATTTATTGTAGCGACGAGATCTCGCCATGTTGCCCAGGCTAGTCTCAAACCCATGGGCTCAGGCAGTCTTCTCGCCTCTGCCTCCCAAAGTGCTGGGATTACAGGTGTGAGCCACTGTGCCCAGCTCATCCAAACTCCTTAAATGTAATTTCAAACTGTTGAAATGTGAAATCACATGTACACATGCTTTGTAAATGTCTCCTTCTAAAGAGGGACCTATCAAAAAGTCCATAGTGTCCAAACTGGATTTAGATTGCTTCGCTAGACCCTGGTGTGGCCATGTGCTCTTTGAGCTATGGCTATCTCCATGCTTCCTAGCTTTGGCCCCCTCCCCCACCTTGGGGAGGTGAATCTTCTCTCTCCTGTCTTTCTCTCAAATTTACTTTTAAATAAACTATATTTTTAAATCTAAAAAACAAAAACAAATTGGATTTAACAAGCTAGTATTTTGAGTTCAGTTGTGCTCCAGTTGTTCAGCTCACTGTGATGATCTGACTACATAATTGGTGTTTTTTGGTTTTGTTTTGAACCCAGATAAATTCTTTACTCCAACAGAACTGGAGTATGGAGTTTTACAAAACACATGAAGCATTTTCTGCTAATAAAAACTGTTGGCAATTCTCTTTTTTTGGTTGTTTTGCATGGAAAGAGGAGTGTCTTCAAAGAAAAAAAGGCGTTTGCATTGGCTTTGCTTAGATTTCTGCCTTGATTGGCTAATGGAATCAGCATAAATAGGTTTTAGGTTTTGAGCAATAATAATCAAATGCAAATGTTTTCTGAAAACATTTTATAGTGGTTTAGAATATTATCCCTTAATACAGTTGGCCTGGTAGAATTGTTGGAGTTGTGTTTCCATTTTAGTACTATTTCCCTAATGCAGCAGTCATAAACAAATGATAATTAGCAATTTTTTAAATACCAACAAATTAAAAGGCAAGAGCTGGAAACAATAGCTGCATGTTAAATACCTGTATGTTAAAGGGCTTCAAATGATGGACACAGACTATGTCTTAGAGATGTGAATGGTGATGCTGCAGGAACATCTATTTTGAGCAACTAAATTATGCAAAAGCTTTAGAATAAGTTGAGCAAATAGGAAGGAGGGAAGGAAATGGAGACCATTGAGTTACCAGTCTTTTTCCTTAGTAACAGTGACTAGCCATCCAAAACCACCTTTCATGACTGAAGAAAGGATATGGAATTCTCAACACTGAATAAGGTCCAGACTTAATAAGAACTAATGTCTTTCCAACCTTTTCTCTGAGAAAATAACCCAGTAGCCTCAGTTGACCAGTAGATTCATCTGTTTAATACTGGGCTGATATCACAGGACCTTTCAATAGATGTTACCAATAGATGGCAACATGACAAAACAACAAACAAAAAGAAATAGAAGTAACTGCTTTTCGTTTTTTTCTTTTTCTTTTTTTTGGCATGAAAATGTAGACTAATTTTTTTAAATGAAGAGGTTATGTGGTTGTCCATGCATTGCCCTATGAATTTCTTGTGATCACCAATGAGTCAGTCAAGAAATAAAGTTTATTTAAATGGATACTAGTCATTCTCACAGGAAAAAAAAATGCTGTTACAATGTATTAGCTCATTGCCACAAGAAATTCTGATTGTGTTGATGTAGAACAGAAAGTGTCATGTGACATTCTGCTTTCCATAATAAATAAGCGAAAAGCTTACTTGTTTGCCAAAGTCTTTTAATAAATATTTTACAAGCTTTGTCAGAGACAAAGAATCTGTCATCTATGGACACAGTGTCTGCATCTTAAGGTGATTTGGCAAAAGAAGAGAGATAATGTCAACCTGTAGGCCTGGCAGCTCCTGTCTCAGTTGTGCTTTTGTTTTGCCTTTTAGGTATTCCAAATGCTACTAGAGTTCTTGGAGCAAAATATTGCCCAGGTTTGCAAAATGCTTTCTTAGCAAAGTATTGCTACCTCATAATAGTTGTATCTTCTCTCCAGTCTGGTGCTTTTGGGTTAATATGCCAACCAAATTTGTTTAGTTACAAGTCTGTTTATTAACATCATGCATAATGATTTTCAAACCTGTGTTCTCTGACACTTCCCTATGAAGAATTTTGCTCCCTGAGGAAATAACCCTGCTTTGTCATTTTTTGTACATCTCACACCAGTCTCTGTATTAACTGCTTTGTGCTAACATAACTACATATTGAGCTAAACTGAAATTAGAGAGAGAGAGACAGAGTGTGTGTGTGTGTGTGTGTGTGTATGAGAGAGAGAGAGAGAGAGAGAGAGAGAGAGAATGTATGCGTGTGTATGGTTTGTTTTTTACAACTAGAAACAAGAATGGAACTTTTATTTACCCTGTAGTTATATTCCCATTCAAAAGGAAAAATCAGAATGAACTCCAAATTTGAAGAGTTGGAACATTCCATGTTTATGCAGGTATTAAAATTTTAGATTTTTATTTTGCCACTGCTAAGCAAAACTGATAGGGTAAGGAAAATTCTTTGCATCTGGAGGTTGAATCCTAGGGTCACCTACTGTTTCCTTATACACTGAAGTCTCTTTTATAAGGACATGGAAAAGCTTTATGTACCTACAAACCACATCTGCAGTGGAAACAATTCTAATCACCCTTTTCTTTTTCTGTAAAAAGCCTACCAGAAACCTTTAGCTCCATGCTTTCTAATTACTGTTGAATGTTTCTCAGAAACCAGCACACTGTATTTCTATATTTTGACTGCTCTGCATTCTCAGTATTAAAATGCCAGTGAACTTGATGCAACTGTGGTCAGCTCTTGAAGATGTACAAGTCCTAATCATGGATTAATTTATCTTGCCCTAGTAGAGATATTGCTTGGTAAAAGTTCATTATATGCTAAGGCGTCAAATTTTATAAACCAAAATATAAAAAGTGTGTGGCTGCATATGTGGAAATACAAGTAAGTAATTTCCACAAGGGCTTTTTTGAGTCAGAGTCTCACTTTGTCGCCCAGACTGGAGTGCAGTGGCATACTCACAGCCACTACAGCCTCAACCCGCTGGGCTCTGGCGATCCTTCCGCCTCAGCCTTCTAAGTAGCTGGAACTACAGATGTGTGCTACCACGACCAGCTAATTTTTTATTTATTGTAGAGACGTGGTCTCACCAAGTTTCTCAGGCTCTTCTTGAATCCGTGGACTCAGGCAATCCTCTCCTCACATCAGCCTCCCAAAGTGCTGGAATGACAGGCTTGAGCCACCGCGCCTGGTCTGCACAAGGACTTTTGCCTTAGCACAGCTTACTAAGAAATGTGTTTTGTAGCTTGCTACTGCCATCTACTGATTCTCAATTCAGACTTAAAGAGTTGAGAACCAGTAATTGAGTTATTTCTCCTAATACGTAGAGATAAAATTTATTTTATTCCTTGGAAATCCTTAAAATATTTTTTATTGAGAGTAAGACAGAATTTTCATGTGGTCCATCCGGTATTATTTTGTAGTATGGTTTTAGTGAGCAAACTCACCAGTCTTTCTCCACTGTTAATAATGTGCTATTTCTGCATTTGAGTTTCTCATCAAACCTTTTTTTCTTTTGTCATCATTTCCTAGTTTAATGGATCGAGAAGTGGCATTGCTTGCTGAAATGGACAAAGTGAAAGCTGAAGCAAGTAAGATGATTGATCTTTTATTTATTTATTTAAGAGAGACAAGGTCTTGCTATATTGCCCAGGCTGGTCTGGAATTCCTGGCCTCAAGCAGTTCTCCTACCTTGGCCTCCCAAAGTGCTGGGATTACAGGCATGAGCCATCGTGCCCAGCCAAGATGATTTATCCTTAATCAAATCTATGACCTATATAAATAGAACGTACCTCCTCCCAACCCTCAGGACAGAAGTTCAATATAAATGCCACAATAAAAGTTTACATATTTAGTTAAACAGTCTTGAGCAGTTGTACTGCACTGGCATATGAATCATTTCAGGTGAAATAACTTTACCAGAGCCTATTTTAAAATATTTCCAAATTGTAATATTTTGGATATAGAGTTCAGTGTATAAGAGACTGGATCATGGTATCTGCCACCAGGATTTTGTTTTTCCCTCCAATGTTTAAACAGTTCCATTGGGGGTTTTGTTGTTGTTGTTGTTGTTGGAGTCTCACTCTGTCACCCAGACTGGAGTGCAGTGGCACGCTCCCGGCCACTGCAGCCTCAACCTGCTGTGCTCCGGCGATCCTTCCACCTCAGCCTTCCGAGTAGCTGCAACTACAGGCACATGCTATCACACCTGGCTAATTTTTTATTTATTGTAGAGACGAGGTCTCACCAAATGGTCCGGGTGGGTCTCGAACCTGTGGGCTCAGGCAATCCACTCCCCTCGGCCTCCCAAAGTGCTGGGATTACAGGCTGAGCCACCGAGCCTGGCCAGGGATTTTTTCTGCTTGGAAAAAACCTTTAGCATAATCAGAGAAGATTTCATCAGGTCGCCTGCAGTTGAGTGTATACATTCCTGTCATTACCTGTGTCAGAACTTTCTTTGTTTTCTTGGTTTGTAGAACAGTCTTCATTCAGTGTCTGTTACCAATTTGTAAGGAAAAAGTCAGTGAATTTGAGGCTTTAGGATACTATAACTAGGACTCCTTGAAAGCATACTAAAATAGATTCTGAGGAATGGAGTCTAGCTTGGATGATTTGTGGGGTTTGTACAGAAGAACTTGTTACCTGTTTTTTGGTCAGTTCTGGTAAGTGTTAGGTTAAAGATATACAGCTACTTGAAAAGAAGGGAATGCCGACTACAACTTGTAAAATGGCGTTGATTTGGGGCATTTAGGTGGCATTTTTAACTTTCATGCATTGAATGCCAGATTTGTAAGTAGGAAGGTTGTTTCTTTTAGCTCATTCTCAAACTGGTAAGAATAGAAATGCTGGGCTAGGTTGAGGTGATGACTCACAATTAAATTATTTGTGTATGTGGTCACGGGCCAGAGGAGGCAGCTTTGAGGCACTGAGCTGAGTTCAGTTGTGGTTCATTTTAACTTGAAATGTTGAGAATGCAGTAGAGATGCTATCTGCTGTTTTTCAGAGGTGAGATTTCATTTACATTGAGCAATATATCTTGAATTTCTAACTTATTTTATCTACATATTCTTCTTTGAAGATGAAGGTCAGATAAACTAAAACCATTAAGAAGGCTTAGTCCTTACTTTTGAGAAGAAGACATTTTAAAAAATATGTCTTTTATAGAAAATTTCAAACTTTTTTTTGAGTTGTGATTTCACTTTGTCTCCCAAACTGGAGTGCAATGACATGATCATGGCTAACTGCAACCTCAACCCCCTGAGCTCAGAAGATCTTTCTGCCTCATCCTCCTGGGTAGCTAGGACTACAGGCATGCACCACCATACCCAGCTAATCTTTTTATTTTTTTGTAGAGACGAGGTCTTGCTATGTTGCCTAGGCTGGTCTTGAACTCCTTGGTTCAAGGAATCCTCTCACTTTGGCTTCTGCTTCTGAAAGTGTTGGGATTATAAGTGTGAGCCACTGCACCTGACGCAGCAAACTTATTTCATAGAGAAGCTAATATAATGAACCCCCATTGCCTAGCTTTAACCAGTTATCAATTCAAGATCAGTTTTATTTTATCAAATTCAGAACTACAGAGGTTTATTTAACTCTGTCAGTTTTATATCTGGGTCTCCTTTCTCCCTGAAAATCTTGTTCTCAGTGACCCAGTGTAATTACTTGTCTACCAATACTATCAAGATGGTGCTTCTTTTTCTTTTTTACACATTATAATTTTATTAAATAATTTATTTGTTCATAGTACTTCACAATTCAATTTCTGATCTTTACATTAACTCTATGAGGTAGGCTGGTTTTCCAGCTTTTTTCATTTCATAAATGAAGAAATTCATTATTTGGAAAATATATGACTTGCCCAATGTTGTATAATTAGGTTCTCTGAGTTATCTGTTATATGTAGAAATCTTTTTTTCTATTTTGTTTTGTTTGTTTGTTTTGGGGGTTTTCTTAGTCAATTTCTCACTCTGTGGCCTAGGCTGAAGTGCGATGGCATGATTCTGACTCACTGCAGCCTTGACTTCCTGGACTCAGGCAATCTTTCCACTTTAGCCTCCCAGGTGGCTAGGACTACATGTGTGCACCACCATGCCCAGCTAGTTTTTTTTATTTTTTGATGGGATGAGGTCTTGCTGCATTGTCCAATCTGTTCTCAAACTCCTGGACTCAAGCAATCCTCCCACCTTAGTCTCTCAAAGTGCTGGGATTACAGGCATGAGCCACCACACCTGGCAGACATTTTTACTCACCACATTTTCTCCATCTTGAGATATATAATTTTGTCATTGAATCCCGGAATGCTAGAGCTAAGAGAAGCTAAAGTTGATACAAATGGCAGGTAGGCTTTATCTTGGGAGTCAGGCTATGGTGTTAAGAAACTTTTATAAAGCCGGGCTTGGTGGCTCAGCCTGTAATCCTGCGCCTTTGGGAGGCTGAGGTGAGTGGATTGCCTGAGCCCGCGGGTTCAAGACCTGCCTGGGCAGCGAGACCTCAT